CTTTTAAAAACAAGCTCAATCTCAATCATAATAACAGAAATACCAGTAAAACTATATTGAGATACAATTTTCTACCCATTAGCAAAACCTGAAAAGTTCAGCAACACAATCCATTGGAAAAGCTACAGAGCTTCTACCAGCATTCTAAGTGCTGGTGGAAGTTCAAAAGGTTACAACTAACCTGAAGTTAGTATGGCCATAACTATCAAAATTATTTTGTCTCTTGGCTTATAAATAAACAGTATCCTTGAAAATTCATCCCACAGATGTATTTTAAAACACACACAATATCATTAACACATTTATTGCATTAGAAAAAATTGAAGACCCCCATGACTCTTTTAATAAATTGTGATATATCCACCCAGTGAAATACTGAGAGAATACTGTGAGAGAGAGAGAGAATTGAACAGTTTCTTATTTTTACTGTGGAAATATCTCTAAGATATTACTAAAAGAAAAAAAAGCAAAGTGGCGAGGTGTGTATAATATGCTACCTTTAATATAATAGAGGAGGGTTTATGCACATACATTATATATATATGCATATTTGCAACTGTAAAAGGTTTTAAAAGAAATAACTATGAAAAGTGGTTGCCTGTTGGGTTAAGGTAGGTGTGAATAGAGGTATATAGAAATGGGAATGTAAGAAAGATTTTTTCTATAATTTTTATATTTAGGTTTTGATTTGAACCATCTCGCTGCATCACCTATTCTTAAATTCAAAACAAAGAAAACCCACAAAATCAAAAATACTTCCGTAAAGTAAAAAAAAAAAAAAAATCATTATAACCACAGCCTAAGGACCTCAAGGCGCCTGGGGAGGGGAGCCAGCACTTGATGTTACAAGAATATCTACCTTCACTGACTGCAACAATTTCTGCAAACTGAAGAGTATGCCACCAACAGGGAGATATATGGAAGAAACAAATAAATCCCGATGCTGGATAGCCCATCCAGAAGCAAAACGTGGACATCCTATTATGTATTTCCCCTGCTAAGCAGTACTGTTGTTACTTATAACCTTTCATCATAATCTGCTAGGCAGGTCCACTCTACTAGGGTCTCAAATAGTCTTTCTGGCCTTACCTCCTACTACTATACTTGTAGCTAACAAAACTAGACAACTCATTCTTCCCTGGAAATTCTCTGACATTTTTGCCTGGACATATCTCCTTTCTGTTCTCTGGAATGTTTCTCAAATCCCAAATCCTAGCTCTCTCTGAAAACTACTACAAATCTTTCCTCCCAAACTGTCCTGATTTCTCTGATAGGATATAATCAAATGATATAACACCTGGAAATTCTCTAATTTATTGCCTGGCACTTAGGAATACAAAATGTTTCACGAATTTCTGAATCCTCGTATGGTACTGGACAAATTTTACTTGTATTATAAATATTAGTATAACAACCATACTAGATTATAAACTTCCAGAAGAAAAATATTGAGACAGGTGTTCATATATGAGGTAGCTCTTGAAAAATACTTTAAAATTCAGTTTAATTGAAACACTTGCTTCATTCAGACCTACCTTTAAACTGATACTGTATTTCTGTCTGATTATAAAGTTTGGAGAAATTTTTATTTTATAATTTGAATAAGCACTGTTTTTAAATGTGACCATATGTGGCTGTGTAGGAGAGTTCTGTGGCTTTTACCCATAAGAAATAAAGCCACCTTTCCTCTGGAGAAAGCAGTTCATTTCTACATGGAGACAACCTCTGTTCAGCCAAGAGTACATGTGTTGCAGGCTCAGGCGGTTCCTCCATGCAAAAGGAGGCCTGTGACCCAATCCAGTCAGTCACTCATGGTGTTTGTGTCTTAGAGTTAATGATTAGCTCTACCATGGTCATGTGACAAAATTTGGTCCAATCAGATCTCAGTCTGAGACCTTTACTGTGGTGATAGGGAAAAGCCAACCTTCTGCAACAGAGTCTGAAAAGGTCAAATGTAAACCTGAAGCTTTCTTGTCAACTCTGTGAGCTTCTGTCAGAGAGGGCTTATAGCATAGTGGAAAAAAAAAGAAAAAAAGCTAGGTAATGAAGAAAATATAACCCAATCTTAATCCTGTGTGAGCTCCTGGATTCTACTATGCCTGACTTTGCTTTCCTTGGGTTTTTCAGTTATGCAAATTAATGCCTATCTTTACTGCCTAAACTAATTCAACTCATTTTCTATCATTTGAAAACAAAGGCATTTTGCCAAGTCTAAACTGAAATTTAGAATACTTATATTTTAAAGTCTAACTCTATAACATGTATTATGCAATGCAAAAAAACATATGCTTCTGGTACCCAAAGATTTAAATCCAGAGTATTAAATTATTTGAAAAATGCGTATATATTAAACAATGAATTTTGTTAAATAATTTCTAAGTGTATGGGAATATTAAAATAGTGTTAAGGCATAGTGCAATTAATTTTCATCCACTACAAGAAGGGTGTATATTTATACAGGAATATCTTAGAGAAATGGACACGTGTCTAGGGACCCTTTGTGTAAGACCCTTTGTGTTTAAATACCATAGCAGGACCAATGGTTAATGAAACACTCTTCCTGCCCCCAAATACTGCCCCCCAACTATTTGCTATGGTATCATTCTCTTCACTTGACCGAAGTCCCCAGCATGTAGCTGTTCCTTTGGATCTGTCTGCTGAGAGACCTTATTAAAACTATACCAGGGAGGGGAGGCCTGGTTAAGAAGTAAAAAGGAACTGAGCTCTGCAGCCTTCTCCTGTGAACATGGATTATTTTTATCAGACGCTCTAGGTTCCGGGGAAATAAATGAGTAAGTTTTAAGGACAATGGGAATGGAATGGAAGGACCCCAGTGCGGTCTGTTCTTCGAGGGACCAAGGCTGCAAGACCCTAGGTTAGGGACGGAGCCGGCCACTCCAAACAAAGCCTTCCAAAAGAATAAGAGGAGGAGTATCAAAGAAAAAAATCTCCTTTCTGAATTTTGCTGAACGCTGGCCCCAAGTGGAAAAGCATGATATACTTTTAATAAATCAGTTTTGAAATTCCTTTCCAAATGAGATTCTCTGCATTGTTTCATTTCACCAAAATTTGTTTCTTATTTATTCACTTAAAATATATAAAGGTAAAATAACCTATGGTATCTTATTTGTACTTGACTCTCTTTAAGATTTGGTCTGTGTATTCAAGAGATAATGCAGTACTGGTTTTTACAAACCATTCTGAGAGTATCTTAGTTTTTATGTCTATCATCTCTAATTGTTGCTCTTTATAAATCCACACCAAGCCACGTAATTCATTCTTAATTTTAGACATACCTCATAAGATATTTATACTTTAATTGGACAGTTTCTGCAAGAAACAATCATTTAACAAGGAATTTGGCTTTTAAAAATATGGAATGGTTTAAAAAACTACAGTGGACCTTTTTCCAGTGCCAAATGCTTATGTGGATAGTCACTCTTGCTAATGTGTAAGTACTACATATGTTTATTCATGTGATCTTCTTTTATAAGGAAATGAAATAAAGTAATAACATATCAACCAAAACTATCTGAATTATATAGCTTCTGTAGATGCAGAGGTTCAGAACCACAATATTGAAGACAGATTTAAATAATGCTTTCCATTGTGTGGAAATGTAACCAATTGAAAAGCTAATCAGAATATCAAAGCAAATGCATATTACCAGGGTTTCCCTACAGTCTAACAATAAAACATGTATTGAACATCAAGTCCTAATCTCTTTTTTTTGTGATCATTTTAATAGTCAACAAGTAGCTAGCCTCAGTATTGACAGCTGAAGAGGTCTTAAAATAGAGTGTACTAGTATGCCGAATAATTTCCTACTAAATTGACCATATCAAAAACATTTATATGTGTTTTTCAATAAAAGATAATAAAAGAAAAGAATTGTTGCCACTTATCAACCCTGTAACCATTTTTTAATAACACAAAAAAATCGGTGTTATGGGGCCATCACTTCCCCCATTCAACAGCACAATAAAAATAATATTAGGGAAGAGTGGATCATATCTGGAGCTCTTATTAAAATTCTTTCAAAAATCTACACTCAGATTTATTTTAGGTATTTGTCTCTGAGATTAGCAGTACTTTATATTTTTTTGTACATACGTTACAGTACACAAAGACATTTTGTAAAAGCAAGAAGTCAGTATAAAAGAAAAGTTCTCGTCACTTTATGGTTAACAAATCCCTTCCATTTCTAAGGTTATTATTTTGGAAAATCTCAAAGAAGGAAAAATTATATAATTATATAAATACCAAAAATATATCTCTGATTTGCCCCTTCTCCCAAAAGTAACCTTCAATAAAGTCAGCTATGTCTTCTTTTTTTAACAGAGAGTTTTGCTTATGAAATAGAAACTAACCCTTCTCTCACCTTATATCTTAAATACAATTTAGGGAAAAAAAATTAAAATACTCAAGTGTCATAATAGAGAGCTTTCTTTTGCATTTTAAAACTGTCCTGCTTTTTAATAGCTCTTTAATAAACTACGCATTTAATAAACTACACCTTTTCAAGGGTTTCTAACGCTATCTTAATACAACACTTTACAGTGGAAATCTTTCACGTTGCAATTCAGATGTTATTTCTTGTTGTTACAAAGTGCCTTTTTAATCTTTCATTATCTGGATCCTGAATAGTACACATTTTTGTAAAACTATCAGTTAAAGATGCAAGGTCCCGTATTTTCTGTAGTAGTTATTTTTAAAAGTATGTCCAAACTAAAACTATACCTTAATCTGTCTTTAACATTTTAGTATAAAATCTTAGCAAATGATCCTAGTGCAATTTCTCTTAAAGGACTTTTGAATTTGACAGTTGCAAATATGAAAAGAATAGTCTTTCTCCACCAAAGGAAACAAACAGGTGTTTTAACCACAGGTGAAAACATGTTTTTGTAGAAATATTTGTATGTTCACACAAAAGCGTAGGACACAGCCAAACATTTTCAAGCTTAAATTTCCTGTTCAATATGAAGTTAAGATTCACTTACCTTTTCTCGGTGATCACTTGTTACTGAAACTGCCATCAACTTCCAACTGTTAATGACTCTTTCAACAAAAACGGAAAACAGTAAAGTCAAGTCACATGTCGTAAGAGTAGGCCTATGTTGGATGCTGCTTAATTTCAGTACTGGAGGAAAAAAAAAAAAAGGCAGGGGGTGGGGGTGAGTACAAAAACTTTAAAATAAAACCACTTCCTGCGTAGATACGGTTAACCACACACATCACATCATTACTCGATTTGAAGAAATTGCCTTGTATAGTAAAGAATATTGTTATTTTTCAATGTGCTTTTCAATGTTCAAACATTACTACATTTCTATAGGTTTCATCAATTCTGATTTAATGGGGGTAAATGCGTGGTTAAAAATGTAGCAGGGGGAGGGGTAGCGGGGAAGCATTAAGGGAACTTCCTCTTTCTCTGCCTTCTAGCAAGAACTTAAAGCCTAGGTCTCTGCAGTCCGCAGTCGGTGCGGGCATGCTCACATACCATCGGGAGGCTCTGCTTACTGATTTGGGAAGCCAAGAAGCCACTTCCAATTCACAGAACTGATACTTGTGTCTCACTCACGGATGGACCAACCAAGCGGTGCCCTGGTTCCTAAGTCTAAGGGCTTGGACAGGTTGCTAATGAACTTGAGAGCATGCAGCAGCCCAGGGCCCTGATGCCACCTGGAGGAGAGAAGGCTGCTTATGTAGCACATGCTGTGACACTTGCTCTGGGGGTAGCTTTCACACTGGGGTGGCAGTTTCCTAAGCAGCTCTGAAATCTGCTGACGAGCTTTTACTCTAGCTGAATGATCCTTTGTGTGGCCTGATTTCAGAAGAAAAATAAAATAAAAGATGCAAAGGGTGTCATTTTTGGCAAGCTGCTACGTGCTCATCTGTGTCAGACTTCAACCAGTCCAAGACATATTTGGGGGGGGCGGCTCTCAACAACAACAGTATAGGATGTGCATCTTTATTGAACCATGGAGTTCAAGAAATAAGCTCCTGAATGTCCAGGCTTGGCTGGTTTTGTGAGATTTGCAGGAGTTTCACAAAAGGAAAAGCTCCCCTTCCAAATATATGAGAAAGTTAAATCACAATCTCTTGTCATACAAACCAATTAGACTAGAAATCTGTGTAATAGCTCTCAGTGGTGTGGAATGTTTGGCACACATAAAGACAATCTTTAAAAAAAAAATATTTGGTATATATAGCCCAAGTGAAGGATGGCATGTCCCTTGCAAGTTAATCTAGTTTCTCCAGGACTCTCCTTTTCAAAATTGTATTTCAGATTGACCCACGATGTCACTATCGATGGTCATTCTGGGATGCACCTTTTTAAGTGTGTAGAGCCCTGAAGGTTTGTACTCAATATTGTCCTTAACACTGAGGAAAAAGTGGAAAGAACATGATACTGAAAGTGAGGAAATCAGAATTCAGGCCTCAATTCTGACACTGCTATTAATTTAACCTTGGCCACGCCACTTACATTCTCTGAGATTCAGGTTATTTTTGAGATAATGGAACACGCAAATGAAAACCGTCTATCTGCCAGAATAAAAGCGTTGGTTCACAAACTTGGGGGCTTCCCAGTGAAATCTGAAACTGGCTTCCGTACACGGAGGCCAAGGAGAGACCAAAGAGGCAACCCCTCCAGATTGGTAGGTTGCAGGTTTAATAAGCCAGGGAACTTACGTACAAGGCCGGTCTTGGGCTGTCACAGGACAAGTAGATCTCCGCACCAGAATCTCAAAAGTTTTATGTAGAGGCCTTACCGGGGTTCATCACATAATCCCTCCAGATCGTCTCAACAACGCATTGCTCTCTCGGAGCTGCATCCTTGGAAAGCTCCCACTGTGCGAACTGTAGGAACCATGGGCAGAATGTACATTTCAAGGGCAGAGGAGGGGATGAGGAGCCTCTGATTGCCGAGGTGTGGCTCATGGGTCAACCTGCGGTCAAGTCCTCTCGATGACCTCCTCTGACATTCTTTTTCTCCTGACTGGCTCTTACAATCTTTTATGCCCCTCTCTTTTATAACATGTGCTGAGGGGTCAGCAAGAAGTTTTATTAGCTGGGAGGTGGCTAGTCGGGTGGCTGGCTGGCTGAATAGGAGACAGATACCACAGCAACAATATAGAAACATACAAGCGAAAACATAGATTAAGATAATGATTTTTCAAATACATAACAATTTTTTTTTTAACCGAGAGCCCCATGCTTTAAACCACGGATTTAAGTCCCTAGGCTGGGGTTCCGATCACCCAGAGTGTTCTCTGGTAGTTTTATGTGATGTAATAAAGATGATACAACAGCCGACTCATCAGGTATGAACATACAATGGCACAAGGCCCTCCTCTTGAGGCAATAGTGATGCTCCGGGTCATCTTATTTGGGAGCACAGCTTTTCTCCCTGGAGACATTTCAGGGTTCAGTAAAGACAAGTTTTGCTGCTATCATTTAAGGCTTGCTGGGAGGATTTAGGAGGGCCTTCTATGTGTCCTACAACTTCTTGCAGACCCATGGAGGGGACAAAGGCAGTGGCTAAGTGATTGCTCCATTGGAAAACAAAATGTGCCTTGAGAGGAAAGTGGGCTGTTTTTGTTACTGTGGGGTGGATTCTCCCCTGTGTCCAGGGAAAACCCAGATTGTAGTGGCCCAACCACTCAGATGGAAGCCATGGCCAAAGGTTTGTGCCACATAACCACTGGGTCCCATTCGGGGCTACCCAATAAATACCTGAGAGGCCATACCAGTCAGTGCCAAACCAGCCTCTATTCTTTGATATGACAGAATAACTATATAGTTTCTGTGATATATATCCCTTATCTCTGGTGTGTTGGGGTTGTTCTGTTTAGCGTGATTTTTCTGTTCCCAGCATAAGAGTTCCTTGGTGCTCAAATGTCTATAACCCAGGGTGAGTCACATGAACCCATCCCAATCTGGACACAGCTTCTCTAATCCCCTAATGGGGGCAGCACAGTTTATGCAACAACAGGGAAAAGCTTGGGTTAGGCCAGACTCAGTGTCCATATAAACCAAGGCATATTTAGAACCCTCACTCAAAGGGCAGAGACCAATATTATTGATTTGCCTCCTTCACGGGTTGGAAACTCTGGCCGATGATCCCAGACTTCTTTGGCAGTTGCCTTCAGCATCGTTTAGATCACACAGCACAAGCTGTCAATGTATTCCAAGGGCAATCGGGTATCCTTGGCCATATTCATCCCACCCAGGTGCTATGATGGCTGTTCTTTCTATGCATCCAATCTATTTTATCTACTGAAGGGCTCATTGTTAGGGCTTGTGCCCGAGCTAGGGCCTCAGCTTCCTGATTGCCACAGGGTATTAGTGCCTTATGTTCCCAGCTGTGGAAGACAGCAAGGGCTCCCCCAGGCTCTTGCAGGGGAACTGCAAATGCCTTTCCATATATCTTGACCCCAAAAGGATTTATGCATGACCACCTATTCCTTGGCTTTCCATTGTTCAAGTCATGGGGTTAATCTCTTTAGAACAGCCCAACTGCCAGTGCAAAGGATTAACAACTAGGGTTCATGAGTGATCGCCAAGCAAACCACTCTGTTTAGTGCACTGTGTTTTTTCCTGTTTCCAGGCATCTGTATACTGGGCGTCGGTATATACTGGGCCTCTCTACAGGCTGCAGGGCCTGGCATAGGAATGGGGTGGGGGCATTTAGAGAATCTACATATTCTACAGGACCTAGTAGTACTCACATTTTTAGAGACAGTGGGCTGAGGACAGGATGCTCCTCTACTGCAAATAGGTTTACCACTTAGTCAACGGGGGGTTTGAGCCATGGTAGAGGTGGATTGATGGAACATATTCTCAACCCACCCTGATAGGAAGGGAAGTTGTTACCATAATATATTGTTCCTTCATGAGGGGAGCACTGTGTACACTGTTAGGAGCTGTTGCTCTACGGGGTAGATCAGCTTTCTGATCCTTTCCAGAACTAGGATCAAAATCCTAGAGGCACTCTCTCCTTCTGTCATCTCCGCCACAGTGCCCAACCCATACCTTCCAGAGTCATGGATACGTCTAATTCAAATGGTAGCCCTGGTCAGAGTTTTAATCGACTTCTCTAGTATTTTTTGACTTAGCAAAGGCAGCTTGCTGTTCTGATCCCCAGTCCCACGTGTTCTCTTTCTTTACCAGGTGGTATAAGGGACAGAGGCACTGTGCCAGGTAGATGAACAAAAGTCCTCCAAATTCTCAAAATCCCTACAAGGTTTGTATCTCTTTTATGTTCCTAGCGGTTGGATAAGTTTCATCTTATCATAGCTTCTAGGACAATTCACGTCTTATCCAACAAAATGATTCCCAAAAACTTTATGGTGGTGCCTGTGCCTTGAATTTCCTGTTGGCTCAGTTCCTATCCTGTACCTTGCAGATGCTCCAACAAAATCTGCAAAGTACCCTGTAGGAGAGGCAAGTCTTCACATATTAATGTTATATTATTAATGTAATGGGCCCGTTTCACGGAGGTGGGGAAGGAGAATAAGGACAGATCTGTTACCATCAGATGACATACCGTTGGCTGTGCATGTAGCCTTGGGGAAGCACTTGAAAGGTCCATTGTTGCCTCTCCCATGTGAGGGCAAATTAATCTTGTGACTCAACAGCCAGGGATGTACTGAAAAAGAATTTGCTAAGTCTAGGACAGCAAGGAACACTTCTAGGACCATGAACAAGATATCCAGGGTGGTAGCAATGGTGGGTACAGCAGAATTTGGGGTGGGGCGCATTACCTTGTTTAATTCTCAGTAGTCCACCATCATCTACCATGAGCCATCTGGCTTTTTTACCAGCCATACTGGGCTGTTGAAGGCATTATGGGCAGGGCCCACCATGGATACCTCTTTCCTAAGATCCCCGTGGATGCCTCTTTCTCCCCTGGATGCGTCTTTTCCATCTCCTTGTTGGCTCAACCAACTCCTTGTTGGTTTGAAACCTAGGGAGTTCCTGGGTGAAATCTGAATCTGGCCCCAGTGAGCGGAGGGTGGGGAGAGGCCAAAGAAAGAAGCAGGCCACTCCAGATTGGTAGGTGACAGGCTTAATAAGCAAAGGAACTTACATATGAGGCTTATCATGGGCAGCCAAAAAGAAAGATGAGTAGATCTCCA